AAACTGCTGTGTCCGGTGTACCATCTAAACTAGGATGTGGTCTGGATTGTGGCCTGTGTCCCATGAGCTGCTCATGTGACTAAAAGTCAGATTGTCTTAGGTAACATAATTTCATTTCAGCTACCCCATCATGACTTGTCTAGAATATCTATGCCTGCAAGTAAGAGCCAATAAATTAAGCATTTTAGATTTCCATTCATTTGTCTCTCAAAAGAACCCTTCACAGTAGATAGTGTTACAGGCATTTTACAAATGAGCTTTCAAAGTGTGAGATTAGATAGGAAACTTCCCTAAATCCTCATAGCTAGTGCCAGTGAAATGGGACGAGATTGTCATGACCATCTAAACTCATTCTCTTAGAGATTATATTTCATTGCTTCTGGCCTTGCTCCTTAACTGAGGCTGGATCATATAAAATATCACCCTTATTCATGAGTCTGTCTTCCTTAGGATAATTCAACACCTCCAAAATGGGAATTGTTTTTGTAATCCTAATTCTTTATGATGATATTGATCCCATCCTACAAAAATTTTAGTTTTCCAAAGCAGACTTCTTGACTCAAAAGCTCATTTTTTCAACTCAAATGAAATCCAACAACCAAAGCAAAAACCACTTCAACTACCACTAATTTCTTCACCTCCTGCTGTTCCTTTCCTGTTCTCAATTAGGTATTTTAGATATAATCCGTGTACACAGATGTGTAGAAAAGCTGGATTTCCTTATTGTTTGGTTTTGTCATATAGATTGTTGGTATATTTTGTAGGTATGTTTTACATTTTGACAGACTACACTGGAACATCATTTTCACTCTGATTTCATGAAAATCTCCAACTTTTATTGTCCAAAAACAGGTGAGGTATTTTCATCTGCTTATGTGGATATAAATTAGATTCAAAGACAAAATTTTATTGGGACTTCAATGGTTTTATGTGACTTTTTACATATATAAACATTTTAAATAAGCAATTTAATTGCATTATGAATCTACCCAGATACTACGTTTTTCTTTGGAATTCAAATGAGTTTTAACACAAGACCTCATTATGTTAATATTTCTCCTCCTAGGAGCTCATTTTTTTTTTTAACAAACAGAAAGTTTCAAGAAAGGGGGAAAGGATGCAAAACTATTTCAGCGTAGCATTTCAGAGAAGTTAAGTCTCTACTTGTGTTTCTCTAGCCTCCAAAATTGAAGTTTAATCTTAAGTTGAGCAGAAAGGAATACAATTTTATTTTTAGTAAAGTTGACTTTTTAAATCATATTTTGGCACTTTTAATTAATGAAATTCTGTATAACTTCAAGTACTAGGACCATCTAATGCTCAACAAAAATACCTTCTTTTTTCTGTTAAAGAAAATGAACATAAGGGAAAAATAAAGATCTGAAAACAAATGTTTGGGAGAGATCTAGATGGAAATAAACAAAAAGTTTATTAAGTCCTTATAATGCAGAAATTGATTCACTTGCCCCGTTTTCAAAAGAATAGTCACAGGAGTAGAAAGCTTCTGTCTGGTGTTGAAATCACCAGCTGCTTTGAAACGGGTTCTTATTCTTGTGCGTCCTCAGATATTAAGACATTTTACTGATCTTAATTTTCTTATTTTGCTGAATTTCTTTCTACCTAAACTTTGGATTATTTAAATTAGTAGCTTTTTAACCTTTTTGACTCTTAGAGCACTCTGATCATCTACGGAAAGCAAGGTTCCCAGAAAATACATGTATATATAGAAAACCCTATTTAGCGTAACATTTCAGGATTCAAGTACTATTAAACCTATTCAAAGATCAATGAAAGTATTTGGAAGATCTGTATGGCAACCAGTGTGTTTCCTTCAAGTAAAATGATATCTACCATTCCCTGAAAATCTCTTAAAGGGCATTGAGCTGTATTGTATCAAATACTTTTGTGTATCGGCACATACATTGTTTATGAAATTGTGAATAATTCTTTAATTCTAATACCCTAGCTTTTATGGAGTATTGCTTTCTTTATTTAATATATTATCTTTTTATTTATTAAGTTTATCAGTACATTTTGGTATTCCATACGATCACATTTTTCATTGGGAATCTGTACCTGTACATGATATATCTTGGTTCTTATTTTTTTCCCCATTCACCTGTGTTCAGTTGATCTGCATTTTGAGATTTTTAAAAACTCTACTTTCTAGCCAGTATAAATGGAGAAAAGATCTTAATTCTGAGTTTTAAAACCCTAATCAACTGAGCAACTATTAAACTACTACTGTGGGATGCAGACACAGATCCTATTTTATTGCTAAACAGATGAATGTCAAGAAACCATGCTTAAAGAAAACACTTTTAGAGGACACTTAAAGAAAAAATCTCTTTCCAAAGCATAGACTATGTACATGGCAGCCTCAAAATTGCTCGTGCTTAGTGAAGTATATTTGGTGTTCCTGATGGAAACCCAAAGGAACACTTGAATATATAAAGAGAATTTTTATCTGGGATTAAATTGAATAAGTAAGTGAATAAAATAAGCAAAATAAATGAAGTCAGGCACATGCTTAAAACTCATCAGACATACAGCACCTGCATCCAAAAGATACAGAATTGTTTTAGTCATGTAGCTGAGGCAGTATATCAATCTACATTTTATTAAATTAGATTAAATGATATCCAGTTTTCTTTAATTTGAATATCCTAGTGATAGCATTATCTTACATTTATTCTTACATTTTTATTATTACATTAATATTATATTTTGAAAGTGATAAATGAAATGTTTATGTATAATTTCAATTAATTTTTGTTTAGAGAAATTAGGGTTTGACTTTATGGTGTTTCTTTCAACATCAAAACTCAGCAAGTGTCATTGGTGTTTAAGCCCCTTTACTGTTCGAAAAGACAACTGTATTACTGTTTAATATCTTTATTTAATAGCTTTCACAATTGCCACTAAACATTTCAGATCAATTTCATATTTATTGGTCCATAATTACATTTCTCACCAAACTCGGAGATGTTAGTAGTTTTACATATTTCATAAAAATGCATTAAGAGCCTTAAAATAAGATATCACATGTGTCAAAACACAATTCTCAAAATGTTAAGCAGAATTCTCATAAACATGGGCACATGTCAAGATTGTATTTAGCTCTACCAGCGTGTTGATACAGCCAGTTCAAAAGAGAAGAACATCTACTTCTGCACCCTTAGCTATCTCAATTACATATCCACAAATATGAATTTTGGTGTCAGTCCTGAGTCAAGCCAGCTTTTCCTCTCAGTCATACTAAATAAAAACTTGTCATACCCAAATTCCTAATGATGCAATGTATTTCTTTTGTCCTTACAATTTTAGGCCCATGGCTCTTTAGCCATCAGAGTCATCTGAAAGGCTTGTTAAACCAGATTTCTGGGCTCTGTCCCAGCGTTTCTGTAGACTTGAGGCTGAGCCTAGGAACTTGTATTTCTAACAAGCTTCTAGTTGATGCTGCTGTTCCAGGGTGCACCTTTGGAGAACCACTGCGATGAGCATAGACTTGAGTATCAGCTGTTGCTGCATCTACCTTGCTGCCAGCAGAGCTGCTTTGCAGGATTTTCCTTATATCTCAACATCAGAAGTCTTGGATAAGGTTCAGGATCCCAGTGCCCTCCCCCAGAGACCTGGCCTCCCTCATTTACCCTATTTCTGTTGGTTTAGTTTCACTGTGAGCCAGGACTGAAACACTCCAGATCGTGTATTGTAAACTCTGAAGTGCTCTCCTCCACCAGTTATTATTGGTGAGCTCACTAAGTAGAGTTTTCAACTTTTGAAAGCTTAGGGATATAATTCGTACATTTTCAATCTTCTAGTTCCTTGTCTGTTCTTCTGCCTGTATAGCCTTCATTTTTTGTAAGAAGTAAAAACTTCAAAGATTCCATGTAAATTTGGGAGCTGAAAGTAAGATTAACTTGGGGAAATAAGCTGGTCCTGGTGATTTCTTAAAAGATTTGTAGAAGCCAGTTTTCTAGAAGTTGTGGTTGAGAAGTGGGTACCTAGAAGCTAGAGGGAACTATTGCATGCATGCTCCAAGAGTTTGGCTGAGCAATGAAGGAGCAATTAAGGAAATTATCTAGAGATGTAATAGGATCAGTCAAGGGTAATTTATCTTTTAGAGGGGGTGCAAACAGTGCAAATAGAGTTTAAACATTGCGTAATAGCTTTTAGTAACTCTACAGAAATAAAGTTAGAAAGAAAGAAGGAGGCTCATCTCTGGACTAAATATGGCTACCTTTGGAGAGGACAAAAGTATTTTTGCCTAAGCCTACCAGAAAGCATGAGGTTGCTTATATCAAGTGGCCTAGATGTCAAGTAAGATAAGGAGCATTGCAGATCCTAGAATTGAAAAACCCAGAGAATGCTAAGGTAGGTGAACACCTTGTGGTTGGATCAGTGTGAGACAGAATGCTTTCCTCATGGGACAGTCTGCCGTGACTTTTTCACTACATTGTACTCAGGTTTGGTGGAGAAGGCTGAGGATAGAAATGACCTCAGCTTCCAGCCTGATTTTCTTTCCATATAATAGATGCTTCTCTAGTCCAAGGAGATTTGAAGCTCCCCATGAGTGATATCTTATATCTTTTGTTTCACACACACTTCACATCCCCTGTGATCAGTAGTTGGATTCTGTGTCATTCTGTGCACATGTTAAACCTATGCAGAGAGCCAAAATGTAAACCATAACCAGCTGTCACTGGTTCCTTCTCTTCACAGAAGGAAAGAAATTGCCAAAGGAAGTAAGCATCCCAAGTTAGATCCTTTCTAAATATTTAATGTAGCAATTGGAAGTTTTATGTGTGGCTTGGTTTAAGAAGTTCTCAAATAGTCTCAAAGCAGAGCTGTGTTTCTCTTTCTAGTTGAATGTGCTGTGGTCTTTTCACCAGTTTTTTGTTCAGGACGGGATGCTTACTCCTAAAAGTCAGTGTGGCAGACAGGAGGGAGGGAAGCTCATTCACATGGAGACTCAAGGACATGTGCCTCTCTCTTTCCAGGACCATGAAACCTCCTTCCCCAGGGCTCTCTCAGCTCAGAGGCTGTCCCCCCGATGGTGCTTCCTAGATGGTGAGTGTCTCTGCACTTCTAAGAGGAGGGCTGGGAAGTATCCAGGTAAGGGATGGATCACTAAAAGGCCTTTGGTATTCCCAAAGCCTTCCTGTGACAACACCTGATCAGAATTTGCATGTCAAGCCACGTAGACTTCCTCATGTGTTGCAGTTACCTTTCTTGAAGTACTTTTCCTTGAAACACGTTGGTTAGCTCTGCCTGAACTCCGTTTAAACTGCTCACGCTGACCTTTTCCTTTCATCATTCTCCTTTTCCTCAATCTGTCAAGTGCAAGTAGAGAAAGTCTATAAGCACAGATGGGTACTAATGCCTGTGTTATTTGCATGTCATGGGACTTTATTTTTGTGAGACTGTCATTTCAGTATAACGTATAAATTTTTGTAAAAAGGATAAAAAATTTCAGTTGCATTCAGATCTGCTCTACAGGGCAAAACATATTGCAAGCATAATGAGTTAGTTATTTTATGATTGCTTAATGAGTCCATTTGCCATCTCAAGCATCTCTTCACACTCCTGGATGCTGCCTACTCTTGATTTTCTATCTAATTACTGTGTCCGTACTGCAGCACATTCTCCTCTCTATTCATTCTTGCTCAGATGCTCAGCTTCTGTGTTGTCTGTGCGCAAATGTGGTTTTCATTGTAGAGCTCTTTTGTTCTATGTCTGTTTATCTGAGAGGAGATATGTGTGGGTATAAGTACCACAGCACATGTAAGTTGCACATGGTTATAAAGATGATCACTTGTCTATCTATGATATAAAATTAAGAACCAAGGTTGATTATATAAAGGAACAAATTTACAGAAGAGAATGTCATTATATTGTATACCTTAAATGTACCAATAAAATTAATAAAAAAGATTTTTGTCTCCCACAAATATCAGGATACAAGTTTTCATTATTACTCAGCAACTACTTCGGAAGATTTCCTTCCTCCACAGCACAAAGGAATGCACAAAGGAAAATCTTCTATTTAAGAAAATTATGAAAATATTTATGTGTTACTATGCTCTATAGGTAGCCTCGGGTAAAACTACTATTATGGATAATGGTCTTCACTATGTTTTAGTCACTTTCTCATTGCTGAGACACAATCCCTGATACCTACAAGTGGAAAGAGAAACAGTTTGTTTCAATTCACATTTTAGAAGTTTCGGTCCTTTCATGGTCAGCAGGCTTCAAGGCACAATGGTGCGGCAAAGGGGACTGGTGGACAGGAAGCAGAGGGCCTGAAGGAAGGCTCTTAAAAGGGTGACAATGCTTCCAAGCCAGGCCTCCAGACCCCCTCTTCCTACCAGCCCCCAGCTCTTAACTTCAGGTATTATGCCCTCATAAAACAATCCTTCCAAAAATACGACGTATGGCAGCGTGAGATTCTTATAGGACATCTAGATATAAGCCATAATAAACCATATATTACTTTATAAAAAGCCCCATTGAATATCTTTTAATGGTTAACCCATGGTTAAAATCGTGGCTAAAATCATGGTTGAAAAGAACAGAGTACAAAGTACTTCTGGGGCAGATTTTACTTTAGTCATGCATTTTAAAAAGCAAGGACTCTCACAATGTTTCTTAGCTGGGTTTTCTTTGGAGAAAAGCCGCTCTTTAAACATTTATGATTTTTAAAGGATTGTTTATTTGCATATTGAATTTTTCTCTCATGCTATTTTTTGATAAATATTATACCTGTAACATTTGGGCTCTGTGAAATTTAAGTTGTGAAGCAGCATAATTCTTTTTCATATTATAAATAATTACAATAATTTCTGGACACCCAAAATTTGTACTTCAGAGTTTATTTTCAAACCACAGATGCAACTCAATCTGTTTTAGGAAATGCTTATATAATATTTTTTTCTTTTGTATTTTGGATTCTGTCAGACCTGCATCTAGGGATGCAGTAGGAAAGTGAAATGATCCTTTCAGTCCAGATTTGTACCCTGACCTATAGCTTCAATCTGTTTTGCGAAATGAAAGTCACTTCCCTAGAAGTTGGTTTAACTACAGGTTTTTTTCCCTATCTTTCTTAAGATTTCTGACTTGTTTTCTGTGAAGACAGTCTCTGTAAGGAGTTTAAACAAAATATAAATTTGTACAGAAGTGGGAGCAATACGTTCTGGGTTAAGGGATAAGCAAAGAAGTGGAAGCATTTGAGTTGGTTCTTAAAAGCCTAGTAAAATCCAGATGGCAGAGGTGGTGGACTTCCTATACACTGGGATAGCAGCACAGATGTGCCAAGTTTCTCTCAGTAGATTCAGGGACTGGCTGGTCATCTAGCATGACCAGAATGTACAGGTTTTTTCAGCATAGTGGAAGGTAACGCTGTGAATTTGTGACAGATCACAGAGGACTCTAAACACCACATGCATTTTTTTTCCCCCTAGCAACTTCTGCAGACCGCTTTTATCGAATAGACAGATCTCAGGTAAGTTTTCTTCAGCTGGCTTATGAAAGTGAAAAATTCCTAGGTGAAATTACTGTATTAATAGTTAATCTATTTCTAACAACAGCACTTACACATTTTGAAATGGCATTCTTAATCCAAGCCATGAACCTTTGTATCTTCCTGTGCTTTATGGCCTATGTACTAAACAATAGAGCTTGACTTTGCAAATGATTACAGGTAATAGTTTAATTTGCTGCACTTCACATTTCATACACATCCATAGCTTTACTTTTGCCTCACCGAATTTTACATCTTTTAAGCTCATTTCCAGAGAGCTAGTGTGAGACCCCAGGTGTTTATATAGGCATTTTTAATTTCAGTTCATCAACTCTAGACTTCAGTGATGAGAAACAAAATGCTTTTGCTCAAGATTAATAAGTTTCCCCACTGTGGAAATTCTTCTGGGAAAAATATAAGATACAGTATTAAACCCAGTGATAAAATCAATCATTGACCAAACCACTTAGCTTTGAGCATCAATTTATAGTGCTCAAGTTCAAGCTGCCATACACTCACACTGGACCCAGTGGCAGTGAGTTGTCTCCTCCTCCCTGCCTTCTCCTGCTGCTCCTCTTCCTTCTCTTCCTTACTTTTTCCTGTGGTACGGAGTGTTTTAGCCCAGGACCTTCAAACTGAGCTATATTCCCAACCATTTTTAGTTTTAAAGGCAGAATCTCTTGAAGTCACTAAGCTGCCCAGGCTGAGCTTAAACCTGTGATCTTCCTGTCTCAGCTTCCCAGAGAGCTGGGATTACAGACACTGCCATCACTCCTATCTGAAGTCACTTCTTTGATAGTGTTTGGGAAGAAGAAGAGATGAAATCATTTCCAGTTACACCTAACAAGATTTCAGTAAATTGGAAATCCTGAAGAAAGAATCCAACTCTCCCCATTGCTCTGCATTATTGCTTCAGGGAGTAATATCAACTGCTCAGGCTTCAAAGAAAACAGTGTGACCCTGTGATGTGTCATAGAATTTCACTGCACTTTAAGACCAAGAATGTTCTTTTTATTTATGCTCTGGATGTTGGATTTGAACATCCTGTCAGTCATCTGACAGATTCACTTTTCCTCCTCAGGAACATTTGCACTTTGTGATGGAGATTTCCCAAGATGAGATTTTTATTCTCGACCCAGATATGGTGGTGTCACAGCAGGCAGGGACACCTCCAGGCATGCCTGACCTGGTGGTAGAGCAGGCCTCCGGGTGAGTGTGCTTCTCTTTGGTTGGTGCTGGAAATGCTGGCCACAGGTGATCTCTGTGTCTACTTTGGCTGTGGGTTTGACATTCTAATGGCAGCTAAGCATTTCTTCTGTCTCCTTCAACTAAGGTATGGCTAGATCTGTTGGTACATTATCTGTGAGCGGCTATGTGTAGAAAAGCTCATTCTGAATCAGACTGGTATCATGTTTGAGCTTTTTTACCCACTACACCAACATTTCCTACTAAACCAAGAAAATATGAGTGTTTGCTTTTGTGCATATATATTTGTTTTGTTTTACCCAAATACAAAATTGACAGGTGATTTGACAGTTACTCTCTTCTGTCTTTTCTTCTTCCTCACTGTTTTCAGGCTACCTGTGCCATACAGATTGTGTAACAGTAACTATGCTATATCAAGCTCTTATTAAGAACCATGTACAGGCTGCTGTTGTATTCCTTTCACCACTTCATAGACTTAATTATTTTAAGTGTTCTGGGCTTGTTTTTTCACCTGCAAAATGCAATAATAATAATACCTACTCAGAAAATTGTTTGAAGAGGAAATGAATTGTTGCGGGTAAAACACCCAAAATAGTTTCTGACACTTGGTGGACACTTAAGAATTATGTTATTAAATTCATTATCATAGTCATTTCACAATTACCTTGAAAATTTTGTTCTATAATTATTTTAAATCCACAGATAAGAAAATTGAGGCTTCAAATATTACATTACTTGCCTATTACGGTACAGAAATAAATGAAAAGTATTAGATTTCTGATGCCAGAGCCCATGCGTTTAGCCACCACCCTGTACCACTGAAATACTATTAATATTTCTAGGTTCTTTCAGAATTGCTTGAAAATTAAACAATGTGTCTATATTTTTGTGTACTGGAAAAACAACAGTACAAAAAATAAAAACAGACAAAAGTCTCGCCTTTGTGAAGTCTGATGAATTTCAAAGGCTTTCCTGAAACATGAGGGTTGAAAAGTGAAGTGAGAATTGCCCTAGAAAGGACACAGTACACCCATACAATATGCACAGATTGTGGACCCACACAGGATAAGCAGGCATGTTCCCCTGAGCAAACCCTTATCCCTGTTTCTCTTTGTTCACTTTTCAATGTTTGTCCATTGCTGCTATTTTTCAGTATCTCCCACTCCAGCCAGGCGGCTTTATATCAAGGGTCTGTGCTGAGTGGATAGGATGCTCAGAGCTGGCAGAAGTGGCAGTGTGGACACATAGAGAGCTGTCTTTGGAAAGCCAGTGACATCAGAGCTATGCGGTGTGAGGGAAAGGCTGGCAGACATGAGGGGTGGTCCAGTAGAACCTTGGGAATCCCAAAGTCCATCTTCAGAGACCTTGGCTCTGCCTCAACCTCCTCAACCGTGGGGAGGCAGGTGCAGCACTTCTTCCTGTTGCTGAAGTGACAGATGCTGGCATCCAGGTGTCCACTGGGTTCCAAATTGGACTCTTACCCTCATTCTGATGAAGAGGGAAGCCATCCTGCTAAGGTGGCCTCGGGCTCTGCACTTTCATTCTCTCCACACCAAATGATGAAACAAACGCACAGCTTTGTCCTTAGTTAGACCTCTGATAGCCCAGCTCAGTCTAAGTGTAAAGTAGCTCAGAGATCCACTGGAATTCAAATCCAGCCCTTTCTTTTTCCTCATTAGTTGCTTCCATTGGAAATAAATTGAGAACAAGGAATCATAAAAACTGTTTTCTAATCTTGATTTCTGTGCCTGAGTTCATTGCTTCTTATTCATGTCATTCAGTTTCCCCACCTGTAAAAAGAGAAAAATCATAGTTAGTTCTTGACTTTGAGAAAATTTAATGAAATAGTAAAAATGAAGTAAATCCCCAGTTAAAACGGATTTTACTTCTCACATCCAGAGAAAAGGACCGACTCAAAGAAGAACAGGACTCATCATGTGCCTGCTATGAACACTTAACTGTCTGCGGCCTTCCTTCCTCCAGGCTGTCAGACTGGTGGAATCCTGCCCTGCGTAAACGCATGCTGAGTGACAGTGGCCTGGGAATGATAACTCCCCATTACGATGACGAAGATATGAAAGATCTCAGCCATTCCCGTGTGCTACAGTGAGTCTCTGGCTGTTTCCTTTGTGCCACTGTTATCGCTGGGGGAGGATTTGTACCATGAGCTGTTCGCTGATAGGAAAGACTCTCTTCAGGGTCTTCAAGCTGTTATTATCTCACTTCTGTGTCACTTTATTTGACATTTTGTTCTCCTTGCTCACTTTTATCCGCCCCAGGCTCCTGATACAACTTCATTGTCCCCTGAGCTACCTTGAGAGTTTGCACATCGATCTATAAATAGCTTGAACTTCAGCAATGCTCTTTTTTTTTTTTTTTTTACTGGAGTTCCATATTTAAGAGATGTCCTTGCTTGTAACATATGAAGACATGCATGAGAATTTTGGAAGTGATACAGGTTTTCACTTGTATGGCCATTTTGACTTGCTATTTTTCCCTTGTCTCCAGTCCTGTGCTTCTGTATATGTGTTCTGTATATTATCAAGCAGGTTTTTAGTCAAAGTAAGTTTGGCTTGTAGTGGGTGCAGTCTCTATGAGTAAATAAGTACAGAATTTATTCATAGGTCAGAATAATGGAGGTATTTTCTTCTCAGGTTTGATCATGGTTGGATAGTAGGATGCAGGGTGGAGTTTTGGAACAGCTTTGGTACCTTGTTTGCTGTGAATACCTCCTCTGCCATCCCTCATGGCGAAAGTAGGCTCTGGGGTGCAATCAGTGGTCACAGACAGGCTCCTTTATACCCCTTTTTAAATATCAGCCAATCACCCTATCTCAGAATTACATGTATTCACTGCATTTCATGACATTAGGCTAGTTTCCATTATTGTCCAGGGTCCCAATGAAATAGTGACAATGGCCTGATAACACACAGTCTTACCTTTGGATGGAGTAGCAAGATTATTGAAATGCTCAGAAGCCCAGAGATAACTGAAGAAGCAAGATAGTGCACTATTTCTAAAGGAAGACCAGAAGCAATCTGGTACAACAAGAGAAATGAGAAATCTGAAGCTAATTATTTCATTGGCAAAGGTTCTATTCAAATACTTTGAGGGCAAAAGGAGTCTTCATCTTAATTACTTCTCTGTCTTACTTCTTAATTTTTTATGTGAAGAGGAGAACAGAAAGAAATGAATTATGGTGGATTTTCTTTTTTAATTAAACTGTGTTAGTTTCTGGTGGTGTTTTGATTGCTTGCAATTCAGTGTGCTTTTCCATTTCCTTTTTATACAGAATTGGGGCTTGTAAACCAGATGAGTCAGCCACCCATGAATGGCTAAAAAAGTGGTCATCTATCTGTGGGCAGACTTATTGGAAAATTAGAGTTTAATTAGCTGCAGAAATAGAAATTAAGTCTACACAGACCAGCTGAGTGGTTTAGTATACAGGCAATTTTCAAAAAGCGGAATTTTATTGCAATTCAGTTTTCTGTGTCCTGATTTTTCTGCATAAAACATATTGATGTATATCATGATATATAAAGTGACTGTTTGTAAGGTAAACATTCTTCCCAAGAATGACAAATAAATGTACATTTTTATGTAATAGCCACGTTCTTAAAACCCAGGGTCTAAATCAATTCTTACTTTTATTTAGGGTATGAAATCGTACCTCAGTGTCTGTGGGGATTATGATTCCAGGGCCCACTGCAGATACCAAAATCTGTGGATATTGATATTCCTCATATAAAATGGTGCAGTATTTGCATAGATTACTTGCATTATCTAATACAATGTAAATACTATATCCATTTATTTTACTACATTGTTTAGGGAATACTGACAAAAGATCTGTTTGTGCTCAATACAGACACATTTTTCAAGAATATCATTAATCTTCACTTGGTTGAGTCCATGGATCTCTGGATACAGAAAGTCCACTGTGTTGTCCTTTTAGGGATCCCTCCTAATTTTGTTCGATCTTCAGTTGGCAGCTATCAGTTTTTCTGGTTAAAATACACTACAATATTTGCTCCGCTCCCCTAGCCTTTGCATCTCCTGGCTGGACTCCAGACACTTGAGAACAAAGACAAGTCACCCCACTGAGTTCTGTCTCAGCCTTGATTCCCTGAAGGCTCCTGTGCAAAGAAAGGATTGTATTAAGTCACTTTAAAAACAAACAAAAGAGGTGCAAACCTTAAATGTCTTACCTCAATTTAGGGTTAGTTATTTGTTGTTGTTATTAGCATTATTATTACTATGTCCCTTAATTTCTTAGGAGAAGCATCCTTTTGTTTCACCCAGACATCATCTCTGCCACAAATAGGTACAGTTGGAGCTCTGGAAATTCCTAATAATGTTTACTATTGGTGGAACACTTCCGACTTTCTTTGAACCTTAATGGATTATCTTTGTTCTTTCAACAGCTTTTAAAGTTAGTCATTTCTTAACAGATATGTAAACTGAGGCTCACAGAGAGTGAACTATTTATTTGGATGACTGGATAGCAGGTGTGGTGGTGGAGATGAAGTCAGTTTGACTGATAACTTTATCCTCTGTCACTGTGCTGTGCTGTCTTCCCAAAGGGAACACACAAAGTCAACCGCCCCAGATCCCCACACCCCCAAATCCCCTGGAAGACTCATTTTAGTTTTTGTTTCTTTTTGACATTTGTAAAGTACAAATTTCGATGATATGGAGATACTACTGTATATGTACCTTGAGTGTGCAGTTGTGAACTTACTTGAAAGATAATGGAGAACTAATCTTAAAGAATTTTGTTTCACTTTTAAAAAGAAATTGAAGACAGACATTGAAGCAAAATAATGTTAAACTTCTATTTTACAAGTATTAAGTATATATTAGATATATCCTAATCAAAATAAGTACAAAAATTATACAAGAGACACTCATGTATCAACTACTCTGATTTATATTATTTTGCTCTACTCGGATTAAGTGTCTCTTTCAAACAATAAACAATAGAGAGTAGTATAAAAATACATAATACTGTATTATGATTTACTCTATGACTCTTTCATCACTATATATATATATATATATATATGAAATTGACATTTCATTTGGTATTATATTTCTTAGAATTCATTCCTATTGATATATGCAGGCTTTGAAAAATTTTATTTGGTACAAAATTTTTTGAACAGGAATATTTATGAATCAGCATATGAGCACTAGGTGTGCTATCACTTTCCTGTAATCACAGTGTATCTATGATTGGAAGGCTGAGGCAGGAAGATCACCATTTGTTCGAGGCTTGCTAGGGCTATATAGTCAACTTGAGCTACATAGCAAAACCCTGGCTCATAAATCAAATTAAGAAAAAAAGAATCAGTACGTGAAAAGAGCATAATTATTAAACACAATTGGCATTTGTTACTTTCAGCTTTAAAACCTTAATGAACTATGAGATAGAAAAGGTTTAATTCAACATCTTGGTGACAGTGCTAATTAACCTACAAAGAAGAAAAGGGAAACTAAAAATCTTAGAACTGAAAGTATTACTGGAGTATTCAGTATATGGTTATTCATAGAACAATTTATGAGTCTAAGTCCACTTATCAAGGAAAAAATTACTGTATGCAAATAAGAAAAGCATTCATTTTGATAGAAAAGTCTCAGAGTAAATAATAAAGAAATGAGGAGAAAAGAGTGAAATCAATGTTAAAGAGAAAAACAAAATAAATAACCCAGAATTTAAAACAAGATTCTTTTGAAGGGAATAAAATCCCAAGAAGTCTTTTTTTTTAACATAGTATAGAAAACAGCAAGGAAGACACAGTGCTTTCCCTGTTCCATTCGTCCTCCAGGGAACAGTGGCCACTGTAAAGCCCTTTGCCATCCAAGTGCTAACAAACCCAGTCCCCATGAGTCTCCAAGGGCTTCTCCTAGTTTTAACAATTGGTTTCTTAAATGTACCCAATCTTGAGTGAGAAAGAATGAACCAATGGGGTGAATAATATGGATGAATTATATTTCTGTCATTACTGTACTAATTGCATGTTTGCTGTCTCTATTTAGAACCATTACCGTTTTAAAGAAAGATAGGCACATGTCCAGTTATGCACAAGTTCTGCAGTAGGGACTATGATCAAAGAATGTTGTAAAGCACATCTAGCATCTTCAGGGCCTGAGAATATAGAAAGGACTTTGTCTTCTGTACTGGGGATTGAGCCCAAGGCCTTCATACTGAGCTCCACCCTCAAGCCTTTTTTATTTTTTATTTTAATATGGGATCTTACTAAGTTGCCCAGGCTGGGCTCAAACCTTCAATCCTCCTGCCTAAGGCTCCCAGAGTGGTAGAATTTCAGGTATGTGATATCTTCCCAGTTTAGGACAATTATTTAAGAAGTAGTTTGAAATGAATTAATGAGAAATGGTTGACTGTCATTTTACTGTTAGGATCATAATGAATTTAAACTTTTAAAAATGTGTTGAGTATCTAAGAAAATTCTTTAAAATACTATAATTCTAGAAATATGTTCTTATCATTAACTGTACCGACACTATTTGTGACAAGATTGTATTTCATTTTGGTGGATGACTAACAGGAGGGAATCAATATAAATTTTAATAGGAAAAATCTGTTTGCATCCCATGGAAGAACTCTATGGTCTTTTGTAACTTTAGGGTTATGAGATAAGAAAATAAGCACTGCCTGAAAGCTGTGTTGTATTCTTTCCAAATGCTCTTTAAGAAAAGGGTACACTCACTTGTGAGTCAGATAGGTCAAAGGCAAACAGGTTAAAGGGACTGGAAGATATTCCAGTTGTTGTTGGAGTATTCCAATTGTGGTTTACTAATGGAAAAATACACACTTTTTCTCAGTCACCTTAAGTCCTAAGCCTGAAAGAACCAAAATGAAAGATTATCACATAAGCGACAATGGAATATTTTTCCACTGAAGTAAGAAACTGGGGATGCACTGTAGTGAATGACCTTGGGCAGACATTCAATGCAGTCATCTGTTACCTGGCCAGCTGAACAGGGCTATTGGCTTCCTGTGATTAGCAGAATCATTCTTTCTCAAACAATAGATAGTATCCGCCAAGATTGAAATATAATGAATTGAGTCTGATTTATGCATT